CCAGTACGCCATTCGCACAAGTGACCGCAGTGGTCAGACATGATGGAAGGTTGGTCACACACAGTCCCGCTGCTTCTCCTGTCTTGACGACGCTTGGCGCGCAGAGTTTCCCGACGCGACTGAGCTACCCCGCTGGCTAGGCAGGGTGTGGATGTCTTTGCTCTTGACTATGACGCTATCCTTGCTGCCATGTATGCTTTAACTATTAGTGCTGAGGGTAACTGTTACCTGTGTGTGCCGCCCGACCCAGATGTAGAGGCTGCTGCTCTAGGTGCTAGTGAGTCTGCTCTCCCTGGTACTGCACCTGCTGAGGCCTTGCACACATTCACGCTTGACTCAGGTGCTTCCCGATGCTTCTTTCGCGACAGCACCATAGTCACACCACTCCCAGCACCGGCTGCAGTCTCTCTGGCTGTCCCTTTGGGGGCCCAGTTCTTGCACGTTCCTCCACTGTTCTCCCGTGTTCGGCAGTTCCGTCTAGCTTACTGCCAGGTCTTCACCTCCTCTCATTCTCTACGAACTTGGTGAGCAACGCAATCCTTCAAGATGAATGGGTTGGTACCTTTACCCCGGGAGGACAGCGTGTCACAAACTGTACGTGCACCCGGACTGGCCATCACCTAGCCACATTCACCCGTCGGCGTGGGTCGAGCCTGTACACACTGACTATTGAGCCTCCTCAAGTAATTGCGTCTGCGTCCGCATCAGGTCAGCTAGCAGCCCCCTGTTCGTGTCGCCTCCTATCGCACCAAACTCTCCTTGGGCACCACCACCTTGGTCACCCCTCCCTGCCACGCCTCCGTGGCATGCACTCCCTCCTCCTTGTCTCTGGTCTTCCCAGGTCTCTACCTCCCCTCCCACCCAAGCCTGCCCCTTCCTGCCTTCCCTGTGTCGAGGGGCGGCAGCGCTCCGCTCCTCACTACTCTTCGTTTCCCCCGACGACTGCTCCCCTGCAGACTCTCCACATGAACGTGTGGGGCCCAGCCCGCATCCATGGACAGGGCCGCGAGCGATACTAACGACTATACGCGTAACACCACGGTCTTCCCCTTACGCAGCAAGGGGGAGGTCCCTGATGTTTTAATCCTTTGGATCCGCGCTGTTCGTCTCCAGCTCCGCGAGTGGTTCCACATGGACCTTCCTGTCCTGCGTCTCCACTCTGAAGAGGTGGTGAGTTTGCCTCCGACGTCTTGCGGGACTTTTGTCGTAGGGAGGGATCCGCCAGTTGTTCACGCTTCTGGCCTCTCCGCAGCAGAATGGGGTTGTTTAGTGCCGCATTGGCTTAGTCATGGAGTTCGCCCGTACCTCCATGATCCATGCAGCTGCTCCCCATTTTCTGTGGACCTGGGCGTCTGCGCTATGCACGTGACGCGAAAGAGTGCACCAACCAGCTACGCACACCTGCAAAGCAACGCTGTGCAGCCGACTTGCTGCAGCGCTGGCATACCGTGGACTTGCAACGTTGGCAAGCCGCGACTTTGCTCTGCTGGAGCGCGATCGACCAAGTCGTGCTGGCACACGGTCGACCGTGCTGCGCTGGAAGTCGGCCAGCAGCTTTGCTAGGTTTGATATAGTCTTGCATGCCAACTTTGTTGCTATTGTTTTTGTCAACCTTTCTCAGTGAAACTCTTGCCAAATTGCCCCGTGAACTAGCAAGCAGTGTGTGCGCTAGGAAGACGACTAAGGAATAACAAACGCAGAGATCACACGAGCACCTGTGCCTAGCCCGTAGTCTAGCTCCCATTGTAGCAGTTACCTCCGCATGGTGCGGTGAGCGTGGACGGCACCCGAGTTACCTTTCAGTCAGGTCAACGTAGTAGTCACTTACCTAAATTGCTCGTAGGCTGGCAGCCGTGCAGTCACGTGTGTGCGTGTAGGTGACGCAGAGGTGATGGACACCCTGGAGGCACGGCTGGAGGATGCGACAAGACGCCATGAGGCCCAGGAGTACAGGGCGATACCCTGGGCAGTCGTCGAGGCTGGACTCCGCACCATGTGGGCGACGGAGCATCCCCCTTCTCGACCAGCTTGTCCTCTACTGGTGACCAACGAAGGCGGCGCACAATCTCCTTGATGGCATGGTACATTGCCATGTACTCTGCCTTTGCCGAAAACTAAGCAATCTCACTCTGCTTCTTGGACATCCAACTCGCTGGTCCTCCTCCGACCATGCACACATAGCCACCGACAAATGACTGATCCTCATCCTCCAAGGCCCACATAGCGTCGATGAAGCACGAAGGAATCAAGGTTCTAGGAGTTATCCCATCTGCTCCAGGTTGGTTCAGCTGGCCTCCAGCTGAAATTTGAACACCAGCAAATGCGGTAGAGCCGAGGTAGCGCACCATGCGCTTTGCCACCTCCAAATGCTTCTCTGTGGGCTGCTGCACAACTCTGGCCAGCTGCCCCACTTCAAATGAAGCACCAGGTTGCAATGCACAGCTGCATACATAACACTCCCAATGAGTGACTGGTACTCATTCTGCAGCTCATCCTCGAGCACATCATCATCCTCAGCTGCCTTCTTTAGCTTGTAGCCTGCATGAAATGGCGTCATCACAGTGCAACCCCCAGTCACACCATAACGCTCCATCACACCAGAGATGTACTGTGACTGATGCATTTTCAGCCACTTCCTCTCAACATCTTGCTCAATCTGCAGCCGTGTGCGGGGCGGTATTATGGCAATTTGAGGCCGTTGAGAGGGTTGGGAGGATGTTCCCGCGTCGCCCTTCCGCAATGTTTGGAGTCCTTGCTCCAAGCTTGTGAGTCGCTGAAGCAGTTGTGTGTGGACGGCGGTTCCAATCGTTATTGTCTCCTCGTTTGTCGCAGCCGAGTTGGGCTGCGCTTCAGCGGTCAGATTCGTCTGACCTCCAGATCCTGCAGCCATCCTTACGCGTGAGCGTATGCCGAACGCCACTTTTCGTTCGACGAAGATTTCAGAGGTGGCGTTGCGAAGGATTCCCAAGTCACTCTCATACTATACTGCGATCAGAAGTTGATCGTAACTAGGATCACCTCGGGAAAGTTCGCACAGAGTATATGGTAGTAGTGGGCCCTTGACCTCAAATCAGAGTGAATCTAAAATGATTGAGATGATTAACACATGCAGATACATGCGTGTAGATATGAGTTCAACGGAATACCAAACGTCCTAGCTAGCCATGTACTCTAAGGGGTACATTCCCTTATTCAGATTCAAACCCACCCGTGCGGCGCGTACAATTTCCTTGCTCCTACAACTGCCTAATGTTGTCTGCTTTCAACGGTCCAGATGCTTTCCAGCTGTTTGCGTCGCTTCGAGTAATTTCTGACTCTTCGTCTCCAGCTCCGATACAGTGTGCTTCGATTGCTGCTGTCAGGAGTGCACAGTGTTTCTTCTTAATTTATTATTCGTAACATATATGAGCTACATCATATTTTAGGATTGTTCATTCTCGATGTAAAGGAGTGCGTTATGGCGATACATGAAGGAATGCTAGTATAACCTTTTGATTCTCCCAACACCTGCTATCAGAACGACTAAGGCAGGATAAACTATCCTAGGTATTGAAATATAAATTGCCGTTTAATCAGCCCATGGGCTTAAAGAAATTATTTGATTATAGGCCCAGCCAGCATTTTTTTTTTTCATGTTGTTTTCGGTAGGCCCACCTTGGCTTATATCAAAAGATACGACTGCAGAGTACCTCACCACTTCGACAGGGGCAGAGTTTCTTGACCCGTGGTTTGCCAAGGCTCTTGAGCAGCTGCCAGCGACTATCCGCCAGGAGATACCGGGCTTACCTCTGTGTGTAGCGGCCCCTCCTGTTCGGCTTTTCCAGGCGCGGCAGCGGCAGTTAGCTGTAGAGGAGCTCCAGACACTGCGCCGTTTGGCTCGTGACGATGCTACCTTGGCCCGTTTCACATCCCTTTAGGGCCCGGGGGCGGGTGCATGGGTCTCGGCGGTTCCGGCTCACTCAGATCTCACATTCACTGCGGCCGAGTGGGGCATTGGTGCTGCTATACGGCTCGGGCTCCCAATTCAGCAGCTGCAGGTGGCGGGGAGGTGTGTTTGTGGTACAGTGTATGTTGACCCAGCAGACCCGCATCATGCCCTGAGATGCAAGCACCAGCATGGTCCATCTCGGGTGCATGATGAGGTGAAGTTTGCGGTGGCGAAGATCTCTAAGGCGTCGGGGGGGGTGGTGACAATGGAGGATAGTGTGGTGCTGCAGGGGAAGCGGGTTGATGTGGCGGTGCGACGACCAATGGCTGGAGAGGCTCACGCCCTAGAGATCAGCGTCGCGGACCCGCTATCGCTGTCTCCATCCCTGCTAGGACAGTGCGGGCATCAAATAGGTGTGGCGGCAAGAGAGTGGGAGCGTCGCAAAACGAGAGATTATGCGCCTCTGCTTGCACGCAACCGGGGCGTGCAGTTCACCCCTCTGATAGTAGAGACGTGGGGGTGTCTCGGCGGTCGTTTTCGGCGGTGGCTTCGTCAGCAAGGGGATGCGCATATGGGGTTAGCTGTGTCGCGGGGGGCTTGTCGGGAGGACGACTCTGTGTTTTCGGCTTATCTTTTAGGGTCACTGAAGGCGCTCATCGGGGTGGCGTTACAACGTGCGCAGGCCCGAGTCATCCTGCTTCGGGCGGCGTCTTCCATGGGGGGAATTAACGTAGACTTGGTCGATCGGGAGAGGGACAATGTCGATGTGGAAGGCGGGGCTCTTTGGGTGGAGGCCCCGTACATGGTGGATACGCTGTTGTGATTGGGGGGGGGGGGGAGGCAGGGCTCTTGCTAACTTTTAGGCCCGTCTGACGTTTTCCAAAAAAAAAAAAAAAAATCGTCTGGCCCTCATATGGAGGATTCCTGGTGGTCTTTGCCTCAGACGGATTTTCTAAGTTAGTATGTCCGCTCAGACAGATTTTTACGAAATCAGACATTTATTTAACTATGTAGTCTACTCTACACACAGACTATACTCTATTACTACAGATAACCATACAAAGAAAACGAACTAGGATTCACTATCGCTATCATGAGAATAATCTTCCTCATCGTCCCCGTCTAGCTCTGAATCTGAAGCCATGTGCACTTTGCCGTGGCCTGCCCGTCTCTGCCAGGGGCCCAACTCCTCCTCTAGCCTGGCTGCTTCTTCTGCAGCTGCTGCTTCACGAGCAGCAGCATCTGCTGCTGCTGCTACTGTTGCTGCCGCCTGCTTCGCGGCCAGCATCGCAAGGGTCTTCTTCGTGCGCTTCACGGGCCTCTGCGCATGCACCATCACCACATCCTTGGCTGGACGCCTCCTCTTCGCGCCTCTCCACAGCTCCACAAGGGCGGGCCAGTCAGGTTCGTACTTCAGCATGGAGACGGTCATCAGGTCGCCCAGCTTCGCGTCGTTAAGATTGCCGCGTAGCCAGCTCTTGATGATGTTCTGGCGGAAGAAGCCCCGCTCGCACTCCACGGTGCTCAGGGGCAGCACTGCGACTGCCATCCAAAGGCGGACCAGGTTGGGGTAGGCAGTGCACCAGTCGGGGGAGCTGAGCATCTGCTTCAGGCCGTCGTGGAAGCTCAGCTCCTGCTAATGGGATGACATGATGGTGGTGAAACTGCTGAGCTCCTTCTGTGCCCTCGTCCAGTTGACTCCTGGTGGCAGGGTGCGAATCAGAAAGAAGTGTAATGTTAGACCGCGTTGGTGTTCATAAGTCATCAGGCTCAAAGAAATCAACGAGGCATATGGCGACACAAACAACATGTCCGACTCAATCAGGCACAACCGACATCGAAGACGTACCTGGCAGGGTGTCAGGGTCGGTCGGTTTTCGCTTAAACAGATTGCGGAGAGCCTCCAGCCACTGCAAGAACCGCCGTTGCCGCTTCGAGTGAGATTTCGGGTACGCCCCCTGCGTGAACAGCTTGGCGCCCTCGAGAGAGCCCAAATCCTTCATCCGGCTCTCCAAACGCTTCAGCAGCTCCTTCACGTACCCCTTCGCCAGTGTGATGCAGTCGTCCAAGCCCCCGCCAGATTTCTGACCTTTAATCTTCTGCTCATGGAGGGTGTACTCATGAGTGGTTGGCGCCCCAGTCGAGTCGGTGCCCGTCACCTTCACCACCCTCTTCTCCGACGACGCATGCTTCGCCAAAAAGGCGCTCAGCTCGTTGCTCCCCTCTCCGAAGTCGTCCGCGTCACTCAGGTAACGGTTGCGGAGGGTGAGCCTGGTGTTGTCCACCATCTGCAGCACGTGTGTCACGTCGACCTGCCACACATATGAGAGGCCGTGGAAAGGCTTGCACGGGTCAGTGTCACAGAAATTCGGTTCAACAACACAATAAAAAACCCGTCAAAGCAACGAGCGTAACAACGTACTGTGAAATGACGAGGAATGAGATTGACTAAGGGAAAGTGGGTACAAGTACAAACCCTAGAAAACTGTACCCCATATGTGCTACCCCACTATAGCCTACAGCAGCTATGTCATATAAATCTGACACGTACCTGCCGTCGCTGGAACTTGAGGTTGAGTGTGAGGATCTAGGATCGAGCTCAGAAAAGAGAATTGTAATTGAATTGAATTGAATCGAATTGAATGAATCACCTGGGTACAACACGAGGCTATATATAGGCTCGACACAAGGCCCCGTAACCAGGTGTTACGCGAAGGTTCCGCGGGTCGCGAAGCGTCCCGAACAGATCCTTACCGAATTCGGTAGAAGGCAATTCGGTGGCCGCCGAAAAGCCAGAATTCGGTTCACGTAACCTAGCTCGGTGCTATAACTATAATAAAATATAGGAAAGCACCTAGCCTAGGAAAGCAAGCAATTCATGCATGCATATAATTATCCTATGCTAGAAATAGCATAATAAAGTAAAGGCAAGCAAGCATAGCTGGCATAAGCCGTCGTACTCTCACACGTCCCCCCCTCAAAGCTGGGTGGCGTGAGAAACACCCTGCTTGACAAGATAGTCCTTGAGAGCACGGCGTGCGTTGCCCATATCAGCTTCTGCAACCCAACTATCCTCAGTGGGGTCGCATCCCTTCCAGCGTATCAGGAACTCGAGGGCCTTGCCACTGCGGCGCCGATGAGTGAGAACGCGCTCCACTTCGTACTCGGGTTCATCCTGTATGAGAACAGGTGGTGGTGGCGGGAGTTGCCGTCCCTGGAACTGTTGGTTGGGGTCCTTGTAGGGCTTCAGTAGCTGGACATGGAAAGCGTTGTGAAGCTTCCATGTATCTGGTAAGCGCAAGCGGAATGTAACTGGTGTCACCTGTGCCTCAACGAGAAAAGGACCACAGAAGCGAGGCCGGAGCTTGGATGGTAGGTGAGACAGGTTCAAGTTGTGTGTGTCAAGAAGCACCTGATCTCCGACTGCTACTGAGTGATCTCGTCGCTGACGATCGGCATACTGCTTCTGGGAGTTCTGCATCGTGGTGAGACGTCGCTGAGTCTTCTCCCATAGCTGCTGCATGGTGGTGACGAAGTCATGTGCGGCTTGGACGTGTGACGGTATGGTTGGCTGCTGTGGTGTGAGTGGTTCCCGTCCGTAACACAGGAAGAAAGGAGTTTTCCCTGTGGCCGCATGTGACGCGTTGTTGTAAGCGAACTCTAGGGTCGGTAACTGTGTGTCCCAGTGGCTGACGTCGTCCTTGCAAGCTGTGCGCAGTAACTGTTCAACCACTTGATTGAGTCGCTCTGTCTGTCCGTTAGTCCGGGGGTGGTATGCTGAAGACATTGCAAGCTTTGTCCCCAACAGTCCCATGAGCTCCTTCCAGAACTTACTGGTGAATTTTGGGTCTCTGTCTGAGATGAGTGTAGCGGGGATGCCATGGATGGTGATGATGCGGTCGAAGAAGAGGCGCGCAGTTGCTTCAGCTGTTGCTGTGGCGTTGGTCGGTATGAAGTGACCCATTTTGGAGAACTTATCGATCACCACGAGGATGGAATCGTGCCCCCGTGAGGTCGAAGGAAGTCCTGTGATGAAGTCGAGGCTAACGACCTGCCATGGCTGCTCCGGTACAGGTAGAGGCTGAAGTAACCCTGCTTTTTTCTGCTTGCTACTCTTCATCCGCTGGCACGTGTCGCAAGAGGTGACGAACTGCTGCACGTCTGCTGCCATCCCGGGCCAGTAGTAATACTTCGCTATCCCTGCTAACGTCTTGTTGCTCCCGAAATGTCCCGCGTAAGGTACGTCGTGAAATTCCTCCAATAGGATCTGCCGTAGCGGGGCATAATTTGGTACCCAAATCTTTCCTCCTGAACCCTTCCTTACAGCTAAGTCTTTCTCCCACTGTAACAGCTTCTTACTGAGGTAGGTGATGGGCTGCAAACTGCGTTCGTGATGCTGCATCAGTACTGCTCCGACTGCTTGGTCACTAGCGTCTGCTTCCACCACGTAGTCTCTGTCTGGATCCGGTAGGATGAGTACTGGCGCTGTAGTCAGTGCTGTCTGTTTGTTTAGTGCGCGGTAGTCGATGCACATCCGTAAACTACCGTCTGGCTTTGGAGTGAGGAGAACTGGTGCACCGTAGGGAGAGGTGGATGGGCGGATTAGTTGTCTGTCCAGTAGATACTCTATCTGTTTTTTCATGTCTGTCAGTTCAGTCGGACTCAGTCGGTATGGTGCACGTGAGACGGGTTTCGCACCTGGTTCCTCCACGATCTCGTGCTCGTGGGTGCGTGCTGGAGGTATGCCTGCGGGTAGGTCGTCGGGCATTATATCCTTGTACTGCTCCAAGACCTCCTCCTCTGCTGCTGCCATAACCAGTGCTAAGTAACCCGTGTTACTCTCGTTCACTGTCCGTTCGAACCGTGCCAGTGTCGTTTCAGGAACGCTCCCTGTATCCGTCCAGCTTCGCAGCTCCACTCGTTTCCCGTTGTTGTAGATGCACGTTTTCCGGTTGACCCAGTCGATCTCGGGGTTGAACCGCTTCAGAAAATCTTGCCCCAAGATGAAATCTAATCCCTTGATGTTCGTGATCGGCAACGTCGGCTTCCACCTCAGCGCCCCTATGTGTAGCTGCAGTGATGCTTCGCCGTGGATGGGAAGTTTCGTACCGTCCACCATTGTTGCCGTAAACTGGGTTTCTTCTGAGGATTCTCCAATTTTCTCCAACGTCCCGCGGTCGCACACCGAGTGGGACGCACCACTGTCCACCAGGGCCTGGAGGCGATGCCCGTTGCAGATCACCTCGAGTACTAGTGGTTGTTGCTGCTCGGAGTATCCGTAGATGGTATCGCTTATAGGATCGTAGGGTACGTCGAATATGTTATCCCTAGGTCCTGCGCTCGAAGATGCAGCTTCAGTATCAGTTTTCAACTGAGAAAGGTTAGAAGGATTTATCCGAGGCCGATTCGGCTTCTCTTGGGCCTGGAACCTTCCACTAAGCCTTTGCAGCTGTGTAGGCTTCATCTGTGGGGAACAGGGAGCCTTTAAACAGTGCTGCTGGGAGAGAATATTAACTCCTCGGAACGCTCGACCCGTATTAGCGCTCTGGAGTAGGGTCCCCATAATACCCGGTACCGGTTTAATTTCTGACTCTCCCTTAGTAAAGGCTTGAAACCCACGAGAAGTAATATTCTTACTTGTCGGGGTATACGGCTGGAGTTTCCCGGTCGGTGCAGGGTTTTGTTTCGCGGATCCTCCATTAGTCTCGGCGATTTCCCCTGGTGTCGGCTGGTCGTGACGTTTTAAATTTGCGCCACCATATTCTCCTTTTTTCGCCCTCTCCGAAGTTGCCACGTTGTCCGTTTTCTGCTTCGGGGGTGCCGCACTGTTCTTGTCCTTCAGCTCCGCACACCTTCTCTTCATTTTCCAACACGCCAAGATACGATGTCCTGTAGCGCCGCAAAATTTGCACGTCTTATTATTTGCTAGCCGCTGCTCCACATCGCCCTCGTCGTTCTCCATCGGGTCGGCAGTCGTGGGTGGTGCCAATCGCCCCATGCCACTAGTTGGCTTGTTGCGTCGTGTTCCGTAGTAGCTACTGTTCAACGTGTCCAACTGTTCGATCAGTGCTGCCGGAAACTGCGCCCACGTCCCCTCGCCTTGGACTATTCTGTTGTTGATCCACTCTAGAGCTGGGCCTTGTAACAGTGTTGCTGCGAGCCGTATGCGCATTGCGTCTTTTGTCGGGGTCGTGCATCAAACGGCTTCGAAGTAAATTTCGAGTTCAGCTACAAATCGACGAACGTCGTTCCTTTTTACTGTAGGATCGAACGCCTCCGGTAGCCTCGGCTTCACTGCTTCGAGGTTAACCGCTGCCGTTGTCGCATGTAGAATTGTCGGTGTTGCCGCTGCTGCTGCTGCTGCTGCTACTGTTGTCGCTGCTGCTGTGGCGGTTGCCGACTGGTTCGCAAGGAGTTTTTCGAGTCGTGGGAGCGCCGCATGTATCTGCTTATGCTCAGCACGTAACTCCGCGATTTTCTGTACTGAAATATCTCCTTTTCCCTCCATTTGGCGATTTACAAGAAGATGCGCGACGAAAAAAATCGAATTCTAGGTGCTGGTCGACTTACTGCGAGTCAAGTTGACTAAAGGATCGACGAGCGCGAATTCTGTAGTTCGCGTAAATCTCCCTTGAGCGAAATTCGCGTCCGATCTTGGCCGTTGAGGAGAAAATCAATCCGACGCTCCAAATTCCAACTTTTTAGGGCGAAATTCTCTGGGCCGTTGAGATGAAACTCGATCGAACGGTCGAAACTCCAACCCTTCCACCAGTAAATCTGAGGGGTGTTCGAAAACCGAATCGAGGGTACTTAGAAAAATTGCGCGGAACTGGTTTTACATACCCGTATCGGCGCTTTCGTCGTCGCCCCCGCGGTTTTTTAAAGGCCGGAACTAAGCGGTTGAAGACCTCGCGTGAAAACCCGCTCTGATTACCAAGAGTGAGGATCTAGGATCGAGCTCAGAAAAGAGAATTGTAATTGAATTGAATTGAATCGAATTGAATGAATCACCTGGGTACAACACGAGGCAGATATACAGGCTCGACACAAGGCCCCGTAACCAGGTGTTACGCGAAGGTTCCGCGGGTCGCGAAGCGTCCCGAACAGATCCTTACCGAATTCGGTAGAAGGCAATTCGGTGGCCGCCGAAAAGCCAGAATTCGGTTCACGTAACCTAGCTCGGTGCTATAACTATAATAAAATATAGGAAAGCACCTAGCCTAGGAAAGCAAGCAATTCATGCATGCATATAATTATCCTATGCTAGAAATAGCATAAGAAAGTAAAG